CATATATACAGAGTGAGTGTCGACAGGGTCTAGCGTTTTAGGTAAAACACTAAAATCCTAGATCCTAGATACAGTGGGATGCACCCGCACATTGGGTCACACTGTTCACGAGGCAGTTCTATCCGAGAGAGCGTATCCAATCAGAAACAGACAGTCCGTTGCCGTCCGCCTGATTGAAAACTAGCGTACGAACGGTTCCAAACACAGAGTGTGGATATGCACGAGCATGCACACACCTGCCACTCTTCTTCCTCCGTTCGGCCACAGGGTCGTTCGAGAGTTCGTTGCGTAGCACATACTCCGTCCAGTCTTCCCTGATGCCCTCTACCAGTTGGTGCAAGCTAGACACCTGTAAGATTGCATGGGGTGCCACGTGTCAGTGGGTATGTCTATCAGAGTACGTGCCAGGTCGGGTACTTAACCAGTCCAGGATTTCCTAATGATATCCACAGACTGGTACAAGCTGGACACGTGATAGTATGAGAGACAGGACGAACGCCAGTGCCTGGGACAGCGTTCGTATGAACGTCAGCGTAAATTCTGCCGGGGCTCTCCTGATCCGCTCCACTGATGAGAGTAAGCTGGATACCTACTTCATCCAGAAAAGTCGCACATGCTACTGGCTATGTAAGGCCAAGGAGAGTCTCATATACTACTGGCTGTGTAAGACCAAGGAGAGTCTCATATACTACTGGCTGTGTAAGACCAAGGAGAGTCTCATATACTACTGGCTGTGTAAGGCCAAGGAGAGTCTCATATACTACTGGCTGTGTAAGGTTAAGGAGAGTCTCATATACTACTGGCTGTGCAAGACCAAGGAGAGTCTCATATACTACTGGCTGTGTAAGACCAAGGAGAGTCTCATATACTACTGGCTGTGTAAGACCAAGGATAGTCTCATATATTACTGGTTGTGTAAGACCAAGGAGAGTCTCATATACTACGGGCTGTGTAAGACCAATGAGAGTCTCATATACTACTGGCTGTGATAGACATATCAACTACATATATACTCCAATAGGTATAGATCCCTCTGGTCAATCGTTTACAATGTATACGCTCTCTAACCCACCCACGCCTCAGTCTACCACCACCGCTACCTACCTTTGACGAGAGTGCTTGGTAGGCGTCGTGTTGGTCGCGCATGATCTTCTGCAACACATCGGGTGAGAAGCGGCGCTGCCCCTTCACCGACTCCATGTCCCGTTCAAGGTCCACGATGTAGTTCTGGTAGTCTTGCATTCGATGGAGTGCATTCATCATCACCTGCATGAGGTATCCGTCGAAGCTGCCCACGCGCTTGGAGTGGTAGGTGTCGTATCTGAGGGTAGAGCGAGTGGGGGATGGGGAGTGGGTTAGAAGTTGAGATGCGATTGAGATCGCATATGGGAGGCTGAATGGCGTGGTGCAGGTGAGAGTTTTGGGTAAGAGGTCAAAGTCAAATATTGGTACACAGTGACAGATGCCCTAACAGTGTGTAATGTTCTACACTAGCCGTAATTCCCACATACTCCTAGCCTACAAACTACGACACCAATACTAGCCCAAACAATCTACCTATGGTAACAATGGGTGTGGTGAGTACGATAGGAAATGATTGCACATGTACGGCTGAGGACAGTGGTGAGTGCCTGATGCGATTAATCGGTTAGGAACGGGTGTCACAATTTGGGTGTCCAGAACAGAACAGCAGATAGTGGGTTGTAGCTGCTGGGGCGACGAGGGTGGAGGTTCGTGGCCCAATCTAGCTGTGTCTCCAACGACACACCTTTCGTTTTTATTCTCGCGTTCACACTGCGCTGCTATTGCCAGATCTCTCGCCTTCTGCTCGTTGACGGTGGAGATGATCTCATCATCCATTTTGACCTCGTGGAAGAGTGCTGTGACCTACAGCGCACACGATAGAAGGCAGGCGTACAAAATACAGATGGTCAGCGGATATATAGTATACACACACACACACACACCCATATATATATATATATATAATATAATAAAAAATTTATATATAATAAAAATATATGTATATGTATATGTATATGTATGTATGTA